AATTGGCCCATTAAAATAATGGACTAGTACCTAAAAATACATTCATTGTTTAAAAGGACAAATAATATGATAGTCTGATGTTTCATATGAAAATCAGAAGATTCAAGTTGACAAGTAAAACAATTAACATCCATTAAACCCCACATCAATGATTTAATTTCAGCAAAATATCATCTGTTGCATTAAAGTTGTTAATTTTTATTTTATTAATGTTATAGTTTTATTTGCATTTAATTTGTAATTTTTTTGGATTGCATAAAGACATGGAATTTATAGCTAGAATTTTACATTTGTATGTGTTTAAGTAACATTATAATAAAACAAATTTGGGCAAACACTGAAGTTCCAGGAGAATTAATTTTCCTTTAAAAGAGGTCTGTACATTCCTTACATTTAAGAACATTCCTCACAACAAATCCATGAGGTAGTAATTACCATCCTCACATTACAGATGAAGAAACTGAGACCACAGTCATGGAGCAAGTCACTAGTGAAGCTGAAACTTGAACCCAGGTTAGCCTAAGTTCAAAGGCTGTGCTGCCTCATTTGGAGTAGGGAAAGATGGTATATTGGAGACTCCTGGTTGAACGGTATGAGGGCCTCTGAAAAACAGAAGGCAACCTGGGGCTTCATGGTATTCAAAAGGCAGAAACAGGGCTGTAGAAGAGGTTAAGTGGGCTCAGAAAGCAAGGTGGGACAGAAAGCTTGCCCAAGGGCCTCCTTCTCCCCGAGCAGCCCGCAGACACCTGAAGATTCATTCGTTCATTCCTTCTCTAGGAAGCCCTGTGCTAGGCGCAGGGATGGGTTAGGCAGTAATGCAAATGGTTCAGGCGGTAATGTGAGCGATGGGCAGCGGCAGATGAAGCTTCGCTCACTCACTCACCTGCTGCTCACCTCCTGCTGTGCAGCCTGGTTCCTAACAGGCCGCCGACAGGTACCAGTCCGCAGCCCGGGGGTTGGGGACCCCTGTCTTAAAGGATGTCTGCCACAGAGGATGTCTGCAGATCTCCAATGTCCACCCCTGTCCGTGTTCAGCAAAAGTTATTCCAATTCAGCCTTTACTCAATCCCTCTATTTACTCCATTACCACCATAGTAATGGAGCTATGCTGGGTGCTGTGGGGCACTAATGATCCAGTTCTTGCCCTCAGAGGATTTTTATTAATAATAACAACAATTGCAGCAAACACTTATTCGGATAATGCTTATTTAGGCTAGGCACTGTTCTAAGTGCTTTGCACATATTAACGCATCCAATCCTCACAACAGCTCTATGAGAGACGTATTATTACTACCCTCATTTAACTGAGCTGTAGAAAAGTCAAGTAATTCATCTGAGATTTCACACACACTAGTAAGGGCAAGGTCAGAATCGGTACCCAAGAAGTCTGGCTCCAGGGGTCACCATGCTCTTGAACTTTGGCCTTAAGACGGTGGGATTCACTTGAATGACTAGACCAATACTTGATTCCCCTACCCACATCCCAACCATCAGCAGGGTGTTGGGAAAAAAATGGACTTTGAAGTTAGGCATGGGGTCAAGTCCAGGCCTGAGAGCAGTACTTCCCAGCCTCAGTTTTCATGTCTCTAAAATGGTCATAATAAAAATTGGGCTATTTTCAGATTAAATGAAATAACATATACATAGTTGGCCCTTAGTAAATACTAATTCACTTTCCATTGTCAAACCTAGCTCCTTCTTCCTGGTTCAGTGCAGTGTCTATGCAGCCACTTCCTGCCCATTCTGCACTGGGAGAGAGATGCAAAGAGGAAAGGGAGGGAATGAAGAGAAGGAGCAATGGTTTCACTTCTTTTGCTGGCACTTCACTCTCTGAAACTTTGGATATGTCCCTGGAGACTCCTAAAGGTCTGCTCTGTCCTGCATTTGCAGGAGACATTTTTCTAACTTGGAATTTAGACCAGAAAGGTGAATGGGAGGTTGTTGAACCAAAAAAACATACACAGGGCAAACGGTCAGTAATTTGTACTATTTCATCAGACAACTGAGAAAAAGAAGAAAGAGAAAATGTATTGACATTTGTTCTAAATGCTCACATATAAAGATTTTGCTTGACCTTGTGTTTTCAGAAACACTCCAGACATGTTGAATAAACTCCTGGACTTCAGAATAAAAACCGGACTGACTGTGGTGTGTGTGTTTGGGAGTGAGAGTGCAGGGATGGGAGTAATTCAGGAAAAAAAAAGTATCAGGTTTAAAGCAGTTGTTTTCCCATTCTCTCTTCCCATTCTCTGGAAGGTAGGGTTCACAGTGAGACACTGTGTAGCCTTAGATGCTTCTCCTAGGAAGGTATGCGCAAACCACCCCCAACCTCATTCTACTGAAAATCACTGATTTTAAAGCTCTTGTTTGAAAAAGGACTTTCAGATCAAAAGACTGCTATGATCATATGTTAATATTTATGTAGTAAAAATTATGTGCTAATGAGAACAATTCTTCTAGTGATTTATTAATAAACAATAGAATTTCAAGCAGAAAGTACTGACATTTCATTATATACATCTTTTTTTCTTTTTTTTTTTTTTCGCAGTACGCGGGCCTCCCACTGCTGTGGCCCCTCCTGTTGCGGAGCACAGACTCCGGATGCGCAGGCCCAGCGGCCATGGCTCACCGGCCCAGCCGCTCCACGGCATGTGGGATCCTCCCGGACCGGGCCACGAACCCGTGTCCCCTGCATCGGCAGGCGGACTCTCAACCACTGCGCCACCAGGGAAGTCCCTATATACATCTTTTAAAGTAAAAAGAAAAATCTTCTAATGACACCTTGTAATGGTAAGACCGAAAAGATGGTTTTATGAATTTTATTTGTAGCACTGTAATAGATACCTCTTCAGAAGGCTATATATGTCAATACAAAGCGAGAATCTGAAGATGTTTCTACCCTGATCGATAATCCTATTCACAGGGAATTATCCTAAGGAAGTTATTCAACAGAAATAAAAGGGATATAGATAAGGACTATCATTTTAGAATCACTTGTTAAAACCAAAACAAGGAAAGAATCTCAACACCCTTGACAGGCATCCATATCACCCCAAACATTTTTCTGTTGTATTGCTCATCACAGTTGAATGATCTGTTTGACAACTCTCCCCCCACTAGACAGTAAGCTCCATGAAAACAGGGGCTGTCTCTGTCTAGATTTTTTTGAAAATTTCAAGTACTACTTTATTAAATGAGTTATTTTATATAATATGAACATCAATATAATTACAATTGTAAAAAATTTTTTATAACAAGGATGAACTGATTTTCAGATTTCCAAATCAGAGTCAACTGTACATTTACACAGAACTGTCTTTGCGTGAAGTCCAGAAAGGAACAGCATAAACATGAGGGTTTCTGTAGCCCCTTTATTTTTGCTGATCAACAGTTTGTTAGAAAAGCAGCTGCAGGTTTTTACCTAAGGTCTGAGACATTACATAATAAATGCAGATTGTAGGAATTAAGAACAGATATCAAAATACTTGTAATATAATGTTAAGTAAAAATAACACAATATGTACGCTAGAACTGAAACTGTAATATATATACATGTGGAAATGATTATACAGAAATGAAAATAATTATACTGGGATGGAGGAATCATTGGAAAACTTTTAAATTACTTTAATATTCTTTAAAGTTGTTGTTTTAGTGCCTCTGAAATGTAAAAAGAAGGAAAATATGTGATGTTATACACACCAAACATGATCTCAGGGTAGGGATGAAATGGCAGTAATAAAGCTTGAGGAGCCACCCCCGGCTCACTCCCAGGCACACCGATTTCTTTCTTTGGTCAAGGGTAGAAACACCCAAAATACTCATATATCATAGGTAACATAATCCTATTTTTAGTAAAAACCTGAAACAAAGGCAATATGTTTTTAAAAGATGGGGGAAAGTCCTCTAAAGCAATCGCTCTTCTGGACAGTGAATTTGCTGGTTACTAACAGCAGGGGGTGCCAAAGGGATCGCTATTGCTCCCAGGAGATGGCCAGGAGTGGGACTGTCACGGCCTCTGTTAGAAGACCTTAAGCTGAGAAAACGCTGCAGGTTTTCCCCTAACAACCAGGACATATGTGTAAGACTCAGGTGCTCTACAGATGTGAATGGACAAAAACTACATTTTTATTTTAACTAACTTCTAACTGATATTTAGCATCTCCTTGAATTATGAATGCAGTCAACAAACCACAGTCATATGAGCAGTACTGGTGACTCTGTCATGAACAGAAACCACAGATAGCATCATAGCACATTACAATTGTTGCAGATTTCTCAAATATCATTTACACTTACCACTACTTTGAAACAAGAGACGTCAGGAGTTACTGTTAGACCTGCCTCTGGATCTTGTCATTTAATGTATTAATAAAGCCAGTACATATTACTATATCACAAATTTGTTTAATAATTTGATAACTATTTAAATATAATGGAATTCTTTCGTACTCCTGTGAATTTTACTCTCTGCATTTACAAACACTTTTCTGAGAAGGGCTTCTGTAGGCTTTACCTGACTACCAAAGGCACAGGGAAGATTAAGAACCTCTGCTCAGTCTAATGGAAGGCAACTAAGAGAAATCAAATTTGACTTGAACAAAGTTGGAGAGAAAAAGAAGTATTTTAAGTCACAAAAGAGAAGTGGCTACAATGCACATTTTCAGTTTGGATTCCTTAATGAGAAAGAGGGAAACCCCAAATTTGTCCTTCATAGGCCCCAAAGTACCCCAGTATTTCCAGAGGTCTGGTTCCTAGACATGACATTCAAGATATACCTAATACAATTTGCTACTGCAAAGCAGTCTGCATTTAATCCAGGTGCAGAGGCACAGAATACAATGCAAATGTTGTCCCCAACATCTCCCTGAAAGTAATCACTACATGTTGACTCTCCAGATACCAAATATCATTCATTTGATGAACAAAGCCAAAATCAAATCCAAAGTACTAGAAGGTAGAGGTGAGATACTGAGATAAATAACAGAGTCAATACTTACATTCGAACAAAGAGCGACTCTTTGGATGTCAGACCAGGAGATGAATACTTTTCAACCAAGGCCAAAGTACTGAAGCCAAACTTATGAATGGGCTCGTTGGAATCCAGTGGGGGGAAATCTGTGTCAACCTCCCCATCATCCTCGGCAATATGCAGGCAGTAGGCGCTGACATTATCACTGTAAGAAAAACCAAAAAGGTAAGTGAACACCAAGGTGAGGGAGGGATGCAGAGACCAGAAGCTATGGTGTACAGCAAACTGGGACACTACTGTTTTTTACCCCAAAGCCTGGTGATACAGTTAGATCTCCCAAACCCTACTTCATTTGATAAAGAGAAAACACATGGCACCGCAAAGGGGGAGAAAAACAATGTGAAAGGAGAACACTTATACTGCTCTATTTTTTCAACAAATATTTACTGAGCACCTGTTAATAGATAAGACCCAGAACGTAACTCCTTTGATCAAAGATGAGATTGAGTATCAGCCTTCAAAGGAAGCTTAGAGTATAGCAGGGGGAAAAGCTTAGAGTATAGCAGGGGGAAAAAGTAAGCACTACATTAGCTATAATATTTATAAATGTAAATAATATAATAATAATAAAATAAATATCATAAAAGAGAGGCAAAACTATAAAGGAGGAAAAAATTATTTGGAGGGAATCAGAGGTCTTTGATTTATGTTCAGGATTAAGAAAATATCTATGCTCTAGATCAGAAGAACTCAAGGTAACCAAGACAATCTTTACAGTTCTCCTTTCTCTGAAGAATATCAGGTTCACTTGGCAGGATCTGATTCCAAACACCAAGGACACTTAACAGAGTAAAAGCAAATGATGCAATTCATCCTGACGCAGATACCTAGCCTTCTCAAGTACTTCTGGACTTGTCTCACTTCCCCAGAACGTCCAGTCAGTACTCCCAGATTCCAGCTTTGCCCAATTTAGAATTAACACTCCTTCTCCTTTGGGGGAAATAAAAAGTCAATTTGCTGAAAAAGGGTGGGAAACTAAACTAACATAAAGAAAATTTAAAACTGAAATCAACTTAAACACTTTAAAATACCCTGCACCAAAGTTGAATTGTGAAAATGCAAATCTGCTAGCATTCAGAAGCATGAACCTAATAGTTCACAAGGAGGTAGGATTCTAAATTCTGTGGCTTAAATCTGGAGTTTTAATTATATGATTGATGCTTAAATTAATTAATTGCAAAGTGTATGCTAATTGTTTAATTGGTTGCTTGATCTATATAGATCATTTTTTGAATTAAATGAGTTGATTTACAAAGTTTATTGATTGGATGTGACAATGAATTATTTCACTGACTACCTGATTTGCAATTTTCCCAATTAATTCACAAATCTTTAGCTGCAACTCTGCTTATTGAGAGAGAGCCTACTTCAGGTGATCTATACTCAGTCTGTCATGACTAAGAGATATTTATTATATAAAATAGGTAATAAGGACAGATTTAAATTAATGGGACCTGTAAATTTACTAAATGGATGGATAACAAGAAAGTAATCTGTCTATGTTTGTCACTATAAATTTCATGTATTTGCAATGCTGTTAAGAAACTTAAAATTCATCTCTGAATGGTATGGGAAACTTACCAATCTTTGCAAAAGGTTACCAACTTCAACACAAAACACTTGTAGAAGGAGAAGAAAGCCCTTTAGATGAGGAAAATATCATGGTGTAGTAGCTAAGGGCTTTGTGTCCAAAGGGACTTGAGTTCAACCTAAGCCCCATTGCTCATGGACTACATGATTTCAGAGAATACGCTTCGTTCCCTTCAGATTCCAATTCTACAGAAAGGGTACAGTCACCTAGAGGGGGTTTTGAAGTTTTGATGAGATAATATATGTAGTGCCTAGCATATAACAGAGGTAAAAAAATAAATGGTAGTAACTATAATAAAGTCAGATGGAAAATAACATGTATAGTTAGGTCAACCCTTAAAGACAAACTGTGGATGCGTATTAGAGCAACAAAGCAACAATGAAAGTGAGCAACATGTTCTATGTGCAAACATCTGTAACTGGAGTGAACATGTCCACCGTGCTCCAGCCTCGGGGCCACTGAGCCTCCGGGATTTTATGAGCAGGGCAGACACTGATGAAGCAAGCAATGGACAGCACAGATTATTTACTGCCGTGTAAATCATCCTGAGGAATGTCTGTGAATCCCTAGCACCACAGAGGTTTCAAGGGCAAATAATAAGTCTATTGATCAAAGCAGAAAGCCAAACAGTGGCATCAGAAGAATCCTGCTTTGATTGTCACAGGATGCCCCCAAATCTCCTCCAAACAAACTCAGCAAATGTCACAGCCTAAGCTCTGAAAGCCAAAAGACTCAATGTGCCAAGTGCTATTATTCCCCCCAGTTCTTAAATATAAAGTGTGATATCATTTATTCATTCAAAAAACATTTGTAAAGTGCCTACACTGTGCTATAGCCTGTCCTGAGCACTGGGAACACAGCAAGGAAAAGAGTGAATAATCCACTCTATGTTTCTGGGTCCTCAGTAAAGTTTAGCAGTAAACAGTGCTCCACCCGCTATCAACCCTTAATTGAACATCTAAGGGGAAAAAAAATGACTAAACTTCCATATTCTATACATGGATATTGGTTCCTTTGTGCCTTTACAGGGGAATCATTAATAAAAGAAGCTACTGTGATATTCTGACTTCTAAAACTGCTTCAGGACTTCAAATTAGTACTAGTAAAACAGCCATTAGTATCATTAGCTACATTTATTGAGTACCACGTGCCAGACACTGGGCACAGTGGTTTAGACACATAAGCTCACTGCATCTTCCCATCAGCTCTGTGAGTCCTTTATTATTATTTCTATTTTACAAATTACAAAACTAAGGCTCAATGAAGTTCATCTTACATGCAAGATTAAACAGCATGTAAATTATAGAGCTGAGATTCAAACCCAGGCAGTCAAGAGCCCTCACTCCTGACTACCATCTACTCCTCTGCCTAAGCCATAGTGTATCAAGATTTCCCAAGGCCCTTGGGAACCTACAATCGTATGGAAATGCTACATATGCTAAAAAGGAGAAGGAAACCACGACATATTATTTATAAAAAATCAGAAGCTTAGAGAGATTTATTTCAATCTCCTCACTTTTACAAACGGGGAATAGATACCTAGAAAAGAGGAATAAGGTGCCCATGATCACCTAGTTAAATGGTGGCAAAGCTGGTTTTCAGAGAACTCAGGTTTCCTTACTTCTCTTCCATTACTCTTTGATCAAATCAGAAATTGGTGGCATTTTGAAATGGGGAGAGAAAAAAGGGGCAGCTGTGGTCCCTGACTCAGGACTTTGCCAAATATAGACACCTAGAGCTTCCAAAACAACAAAAACGGGGTGCCTCTTCATGACAGTTTGTTGGAAGGAAGACGGGCTTTGCAGTGAGATCTGGTTTTAATGCCAACACAGCCACGAACCAGCTATGCAACCAAATCTGTCTGAGCTCCATTTTCTTACTCATGAAAGGCTTTCCTTGATTTCTTTAGGAGAATCATTTGGATCTCTAGGAGAATCCAAGTGATTCTCCTCTGTGTTCTTACAGAACTTGGCTGATATTTCTGCATATAACTTACCACACTGCTCTTTTTCTTATTTATGCATCTATGTTCTCCTAAAGAGCAGGGATTCTTCTACTATCTCTGCATCCTCACTGAAGAGTAAAATGGCTGGCATTTAGAACAAATATTTGTTGAATGAATGAATATATGAATGTGTAGACTGAATCACTCTACCCATGAAAAAAACATAGAGGGTATTAATGATGTGTGTGTTAACGAGAAGAGGAGAAGTAATAAGCTTTTCTTTTTCTTTTTCTGGCTTGTCACATTGATACCTGTTAGCCAAATGGGGCTTTCAAGGCAGTGCACATGTATCAGAGATAGCAATTCAAGACAAGGGAAGAAGGCCCAGGAAAAAGTGAAAATGAAAGAGGCATTCTTACAGTTCACCAATATATGAGTACTGGCATCTCAGTTTTTTATGGAGAAAACAATAAGAAATTATTACAACTATATAAAAATGTTCAATTACATACATATAAAAAGACTAGAAGAAAAGGGACCAAAAAGTTCATAGATTATATTTACATTAAAGCAATGAGCACTTTTTTCTTTCTAAATTTCTATACTTTCCAGATGTCCCATAATATGTATGTATAACTTTCATTTTCCTTTCTTTATAAAATATTTAATTAAATTTTTGATAAGTGTAATATTAATACATTCTTACTGTAGACAATTTAGAAATATGGAACAGTACAAAGAAGTCTGGGAAATCTCTCACCCCACTACACAGAGAAAATCACTTGTCCTAGAGACTCTGAGCATGGCCTGTCTGATTGGGAAGTGTGCTCATTTTCTCTACTAGGTTCTGGAATTATGGAAGAAATAACCATAACTACTGCATAAGGGTCTTATAAGGATTAAATGACATAATTAACTGCACAGTGCCTGGCATGAAGAAGGTTTCTCATTTTGCCAAAATTTCTTCTACCACTTTTAAGCTTCTGATTACACAGAAGCAGAATTAACTATCTAACAGAAGCATGGTGGATAGCAATGAGACAGAGAAACCTAAAAGTCCTGTTTGTGAGTCACTACCAGAGAGAGAAGAATGATCAAAACGGTAACAAACAAGTACAGGACAACTGGATCCACAAGAAGAGGCTTAATTTTAGAGTTGGGTTGGCATGGAAGGAGCAGGCCCTTTTAGGTACCATGGAGCTTGTAACAGGACTGGAAGTTTAAGAAATGAGTGGATGCAAAATGGAGCCTGCTGCCAAAGAGAGATCCTTTTGGGGGAGATATATAGATCTCCAAAGCTTTAATGAGTACAATTAACTGAATTTCCCTTATTCATATATCATCAAATAAAGCTAAATTTCTTCATTAGAAAAATTTATTGCATTGAATTGTTGACCAATATTCATTTTATGTTCAAAGGCCAGTATGGCTTTTATGAAGAGACAGAAGCCTATAGCCCATAAATAGATGGTATTTAATTCATATATGAAAATTCAGGAGCATTTCAGGAAGCATCCCAGATTTCTACCAAATGTGATCTGACATGTTCATTCTTATCCTCAGAAAATACAAAACACACTAAAGTATGAACACAAGACAGATTAATGCT